CTCACGAAGACCTCTTGGCATGTGTTATCATATCCATGTCAAATGGTGACCAGGCCAGCATGGCCCAGTAACCTATTAGTCGATAGCCCAGGCCTTTAATAACCACCAAATGATAGATTTACTCACAATTATTGTTATCAAAATATTTAACTGTTATTTTTATCTATAGTATTCATATTTGACTATGCGATTCAAAAAAATTTTATGAATCCCGTTACCAATTATTTGAATCATTTTCTTACAACAATTCAATTGTTTTCCTAATATTACTCAATGTTTCTCACAATTACTATTAATGTTTAATAAGTTGATTAGATTTAAGATTAATGTTTGACTCAATTATATGCCAACCAATAGAAAGGCTTTAATCTTTATCACAACTTAATCATTTCGTTTGAGATGAAAATGTTTTTTAGCTTTTTGATAATCACTTCATGAATTAACGAACGATTATATAAACAACATTATTCATACTGAATTGTGGTTAAAAATTTAAAAACAGGCATTTAATCGTAAATAGTGTTTTATTATTCCGATTATTTTTAATTTTGCTACTAAAAATATAATTAAATTCGATTAAAAATATATTATTTATTATACGTAATTATTAATAATTAATTGTATAATATTGATGCGATTATGATATTATTTATTAATTATATGTTATTTCTAAGAATATTTACAGATTATAAGGATTAGTATTAGTTTAATGTATGGTTAAAGTTATGCTTATTATATGTCGTATATTATAATACATATTATATGCAAATTGAATGCCAATTACTGTCACAGATATTTAATTACAAAATATTGCTAATTACTGATTGTATGCAGAAATACCTAATTGTAATGTAAAACTGTATGTAACATTATCTAACGTTAACTCTATGGCAATCGCCATATTCCCCAATATTATTCAGTACTCTCATATGTGTTAAATGTTTTAATAAAGACTTGTGTTAATTGTGAGCATTTGGTGTCCATTTATCTGACCCATCGTACGATAGTGGCCACCGCGCACTACCCCTAACCTACCACTTCATCCCTGGTCATTACCGGCGTGACTGAAGTTAACAATATTTAATTGCAACATTATAAAACGATACATGTTTAAATGTCATTAAATAAAAACCTTAATTTTTAATTTTAAAAATAATTATCATTATTTAAAAATTATAATTATAAACAATTTACTGCTATTTATTATTCATCGCTGGGACTATGCGTACGTGATATTTGTAATGAATTTATCATTTTAGTTTACTTTTACAAAAAAATATTATCGAAATTATTTATTTCATATAAAGTTATATAATATTGTATTTATAGACTTAAGTTAACTTAAAGTTAAATTTATACATAATATTTATAGAACGTATAATACATTAACATAATACATTTTGATGTATACAAAAAATTGAAATAATCTTAAAATTATCAAATTATTATAATATAAATTACTCTAAATAATAATTCAATTCATTAGTAAACTTGCATTGAATGTTTACTAAATAATTACATTATAAAACATGATATCCAAAAACACAAGCCAACAGTACAGACGTGAGTGCGGTATCCGGGGGTCGGTTACAGCGGTTGCCGACCGACGCGGTCGAGCGCCGGGCACTTCACGAACAGCTATACTTTGGCCGAGACCTTAGCGAACAGTGGAATTTTTTATTGTCGTCGGCCGAGCGAAGCGCACACAACATGTTTATGGGAGTCCCACAGATGGGCGACACTATACTCTACTACCATCAGAAGGCTATCAAGGGCTGGCCGTTGCTATGGCGATGGGAAGTGGTGGCGTACCCGCCGACTAATTCCAATGAGCTAAATAAAGCAATTATTTCGGCCGTAGCTGTGATCGACTCGCGTAAGGATGGAAAGGGCGGAGAGGCGACTGTCTTGAGCGGTGGTGTCGGCGCCGCGTTTGTCAAAATTCGCCTGACTTCTAAGTGGCGCCGGGGCTACGCTTTTACCGTAATTATTACCGGTAAATATTGCGAACACTTAACTGCTGATATTTAATTTAGGAATGTTATAAAAGTGTTTTTATAAATATATTTTTTGTTAGACACGATATGATAATAAATTTTAAAAAAATAAATTATAATATTTAAAATAAGCTTATAAATATTCTATTCATGTATTTTACCATGGGGCTATTTATATTTTATTAAGATTTCTAATTAAATAAACATACATTCATAATCTAAATGTTTATTTCTAATCAAAAGTTTTAAAATAACTAATAAATAATAATAATAATTAAGTAATTAAAACATTAAATATAGTAAAGAAATTGACATTAAAAGCCTATTAACAGTTTGAACAATTAGTTTAAATTGAATATTAATATAAAATACAATTAAATTTTAGAAAAAAATTAAACAAATACTAGAAAATAATTATTAACAAAATTACTTTTTAAGTCTGAATTCAATGGTAAACGGTTCGATATAATAGTTGTCGTCGACTTCGAAACCGCTATACGATTTGAAGTGTTCGTCAGTCTTATAGCTGAACCCGACAACACCTCTGCGACCGAATCCCTTTTCAGTCTCTAAACTTATATCTAATGCTTCTATTCTGTCGGAAATACTGGCCGGAATTATACCGCCGCCTCTAATTTTTAACACCATATAAAGTCTTGCATCGCTTGTAATGTTGTAATCTGAAAATGTATGACCATCTTCCAGGTGTTTATTAGTCCCCATATAGTCTCCACATAATCTGTGCTGATCCGGAGGAACGCCTTGTCTCTCTTGAATTAACACTTTCATATCATCTATTGTGTTATCAATACCTATAGAATAGTTAAATTTTGTTCCAATCAGCGTTTTCACCAATACATTGATCACTTGACCCTTCAATTTGACAATCGGTTCACTCTTCTCGACTTCCATATCGAACCGAATGCTCGAACAAACCATTTCAGCTCTCTTTCGGTCCACACCTTCTTTGGACACCAAATCGATCACCAGTTGAGCCATCGCTAAGTTTGGGCTCAGAAAACGCAAGTGATGTCCACATTCTTCCAGTGCTGTCAATACATTACGTTCTCTTTTAGTGATAACGTACCCGTATTTCTTGCCATAAGTTAAATATAAGGCCATATTTTTAACGCCCGATCGGTTGTAGACCTCAATCTCGAAATCAATGTCATTGTCATCAAAGAGGGCCACAAATGTCTTCCCATCGGTTGACTCAGAATTCTTGAGCTGAACATAACTTTTTACTCCATTGCTGTCCACTTGTCTTATAGCTATGCGCAAGTCGATATGCAAATCTGCCACTTCAATGAATTTGTCGGGAGTAATAACTGGACTCAACATCACTTTGCCGGACATCGTAGTAACAGTTAATAATTGAGGCTAAAATTAATTGAAATATTATAAAAGTTTTTAATTAATCTAGTAATCAATAAATCTATTTTTAACCACAATTCATATATGAAGAATGTGGTAGATAGGATCGTTCGGACCCCGTTCGGATATGTTATTCAAGAAATTTGTAATAGTTAGAATTTTGAAATATTACTTATTTTAAACATTTATAGAACAATCAAGTAAATTTTCAAATATTGTCTTATAAAATGTGCCGTTGCTCCCTTATATATACTAATAACTCATTAAATGTATATAATAAAAACTTGTGCATAAATTGTTGTAATTTTCTCTAAATAAAAAAAATATTGTTATTATTATAACGGATTTTTCCTTATCTCCGACACTCACTTTCCCTTTCATTCCCTCATTTTGAACTATATTCTCAGACATAGCGCTCAATCAAGTGATACTTACTTTATTGGTTTGAGGTTTGACCACATCGTCGGCACAACCATTAGTTTCTCCTTCGTATCCATTCGTTTCACTCCTGAGACGATTCGATGACTTCACAGTTCAGGGCGTTTGGATCAAAAACTTTGAGTCCAAGAATTTGTTTAATTTACAAATGAAAAATTCATTAAAAAATGTGTTTCCATTTGATTTTAGTATATTTTGAATGTCATTCAAAGCGTTTTCATTTGTGGTAAGCATTTGTAGGTCGACTGACCACAGGTTGTAGTCATCGAGTACTCGACCACTGGTCGGTCGATTGATTACAACTGAATGAGACATTTGGCCAATGATTTCAAATAATTTTTTAAAATTGGCTGAAAATATGGTTGAATTATAGATTTCCATTGGATTATCATTAGTTAATCTATTTGTAAATAATCAATAATTAGATGACAAATATTTAGATATAAAAAATTAATGACAAACATATTAAATAAATCAAACAAATGTAATGCAATCACTCCCAGGCTATAGATGTCAACCATAATGGTATATCGGGATTGATTTAGCTCGAGTGCCATATACTGTGCAGAACCAATATTAGAGGTGTGACTCATGGATGACATGGTATGGAGAGTGGCGGAACCGAAGTCACAAAGTTTTAAAAACCGACTATTATTTTGTGAAATCAAAACATTTGACGGTTTGAGATCCCGATGGATAACCGGTGGACACGAGTCGTGTAAATACTTAACACTTTCTAACAGTTCTTTAAATATTTCACAAGAAATGAAATACTCGTATATTTTCATCGGTTCTTCCGGTTGTCTCCCAAACACAATGTGCTTATTATCGATAATTGTCTGTAGATTTTGTTCGTAATAATCCATTTGAATGTACAGATGATTGTCTTCACGCCATGAGTTGCGATAATTGACGACATATTCTGAGCGAAGTTTTACTAAATTTTGGACCTCTTTTAGGATTTCCTGTCGTTTGCGGTCATTATAGATGTCTGTTATATATGTCATTTAAATATTAATAGATAATTTATTATTGTTTAATTATTATTGTCTAATATGTAATTACCTAGGTACTTGACAATTTTTACTGCATATTCTTCCCCTTCAATCATATGCTTCACGTGATATACCTCTCCGAACCCACCCCTCCCTATATGTGACAACTTTTGAAAATTATCGTCAAAATAGTTTGACTTTTGCTTAGAAACTGAAAAATTATTTTAAAAATAATATAAATGTTAAATATAAGTTCAAACACATTGTTATTTATTACCTGTTAATTGTTTTGCAGCCATTTTGTTAATAATATTATTAGTAGTTTATTTAATTTTAATTTATGGTGAGGTAATAATTATAGGCAGTTTAAGCTATTTTAGACTTTAAATATAAATATTATTATTGTCCATTTACTATAATATTATTTATTATAAAATATATTAAAATTACTTATTATTATTATCATTAAGATCTTTCACTAAACAATCAATAAATTAATATAAAATATTTGAGTCATTAATAACTTGTATTCAATTCTAATGATATTTTTAACGGAGAAATATTGTATAAAACATAAATAATTTTGTCGTAAATAAAACTAAATATTTTGGATAAGAGTTGTAATTAGCGTGACCACCTGTGCTCAGCACAGGTGGTCACGCTAATTACAACTCTTATCCAAAATATTTAGTNTGGATAAGAGTTGTAATTAGCGTGACCACCTGTGCTCTATTTCAGAGAACAGTTCTCTATTTGGACCTGAATTTGGACAAAATAGAGAACTGTTCTCTATTTTAAATTTAAAATAAATGATAGGAATGTTATTAAATTTATTAAATATTTATTTATCTATACAATAATAAACTTTTTAAAGAAATTGACTTTTCTTGATTAATAATTGCCATTTTTTGTACACCTAACACAATAAATTTTACTTCAACATTTGTATTAAATAATCTCGATTTTTAAATTTAGAAGAAAAATTAACGTAAAATATGTGTTCTCTATTTGTTCTCTATTTTAGAAGAAATTTGGTCAAATGTTCTCTATTTTTAAACCTAGAGGTGGTCACGCTAGTTGTAATAACCACTAAAAGCAATGGAAACACATTTAACTGAAAATAAATGATAATAACTATAGTTTTATTGTCTCATAAATTACTTACAATTGAAACAAACACCGACTAAATGTGTGGAAAACTCATTAATAGAGTGTAAAATATTATACATTTGGTGCATCCATTAAAATGTAATGTAAAAACCATTGGAAACACAGAGATATTATTTTGAGACAAAGAATTTCATATAACATCTGATAAAAACTTTTATTGTAAAATAATTATTGCTTTTGAGAAACACTTTATAATTACTATTAAACCAATTAATAAAAAAATACCTTAACTTCAAACCTATAAATCTTAAATAATAATTATTAAATATGTCAATATTTAATAATAATTATTAAATAATTATTTAGTATCTTGAATTTAACAAATGATATATTAATAAAAATTTAAAACAAATAATTATATAACAATTTACTAAAATATTTTAATTATGAATATTTAAAGGAATTTTGAATTAAGTTTTTTATTACATTTAATAAAATACTAAAAGAATTGTTATAATCCGTCCAATAGTTTAGGTTTTAGGGTTTGAGGAAGATAGACCAACAGCAATGTTAATCCTTTGGGCTAATGATCTCTATGACAATGTTAAGTCTATGAAAATACTAAGTCAATGGAAAGGTTAATGCTATGGTTTATTATTAAATCTAAACAATTGTAATGTTCATGGGTATTGCTAATCTATCAATTATTTCTGCTTCATATATTAAAACTTGTGGTATAAAACTTAATTTTTTGTCAATTTTCCTCAATAATTATGAAATTATCATTATTTTAAAAGCATAATTATCAGTAATTCAATGCTATTTATTATTCACAGCTAAAATTGTGAATAATCATATTATATTTTATTTTTATTTATAATTTATTTTTACAACAAAACATTATCAAAACTATATATTTCACATAATTTTATATGAACTGTATTCATAAACTAAAATTAACTTAAACATTATACGCAATATTATCACAAAATCAATTCCATCAACATGAAAAAAACTGTTTACAAAAAATGAAATAACCTTAAAATTATCAGATAGATAAATTCAAAATTATTCTAAAATAATAATTCAATTTATTAATAATTTATTGCATTTAATGCTAACAAAATGACCGCATTATAAACTATGAGACCCACAACACAAGCCAACAGTACGGATGTGAGTGCGGTATCCGGGGGTCGGTTACAGCGGTTGCCGACTGACGCGGTGGAGCGCCGGGCACTTCACGAACAACTATACTTCGGCCGCGACCTCAGCGAGCAGTGGAACTTCCTATTGTCGTCGGCTGAGCGC